CAACCCAGCGCGATCTGCGACCGACTGTCCCTTCCCCCCTGCCTTCCCTCGTCCGCCCTGCTGCACTCTGGGAAACGCAGTCCCACCGCTCCCCTTTGTGGCATAAGTATGCCACAAAAAAACTACAGTTCCCGGTAGGCTACGTGAGGAGGCCCAGACACCACCCGCAGCGCTGGAGGTGAGGCTAAGCCAGGGAGGGAGGCTGCCGGGGCGAGCCCCTGAGAATTGTGGTCTAGCGGAAGCCTCTGGAACACTGGAGGTTGGCGCCAGGCTAGGGTCACGGCTCAGTTGTCGCCTGGTCCCAGCTGGCCCGGCCCCGCCCAGGCCGTGCGCTGGTGAAGGTTGGCCCCGCCTCCGTGGGAGCCCGGCCCTAAGCTGGCTCAGTCGCCCCTCCCTGGGCCCCTCGGCTGTTTCCGCTCGCAAAGCCCCCTCCCCTTGGGGGCTATGGCTGCCTCCTCTGCTCTTCCGAGCCTTGCGGTCTTAGCTAGCCCAGTTGGAACCCATAGCTTCTGCTGTCCCAACATTCGTTCACCCTGCGCTGGGGCCTGTCTAGCCTGTTCTTGGCCGGAGACTCAAATGCCTCTCAGGTGAGGCCCGGTTGGAGAGATTACTCTCAAACTTCTAGTTAGGAGTCTCCAAAACAGTCTCTTAAGTATTTTGCAGCAGACAAGCAGCTAAGAGTTTCACTTTTATTGATGGGGGGAAAAGAACGGACTCAGCCAGTTTCCCCGCGACTTTAATGACCAGCAGATTGTAAACAGTTCTCTTCCTATCCATTGCCCTTTCCTTTCAACACTCATTTCATTGTTTCTTTGGTAATGCAAACATTTGAAGTAAGGCCTGTCCCTAGGTCAGGCCTGTGTTGGGCAAATGGCTCTGCAGCCAACCTAGGGTGCCACAGGTGAGGGAAATAGCTACAAGGCTTCCCTAACCTCCCCTGACCAGAGAGCTCTACCTTTACCCTCTCCCACCCAACTCACCCTACATAGGGACAGCTAGTGAGACCAAACCAAACCTCTGTTTATTAAATCTCAGGTCTGACCACTACACTGCCTGACTAAATTGCTTCTCTTATTACTCAGTCAGTAAAAACTCTGCACTGATTATGGTGCATTTGGGACCTCCCTTGCTCTGTCCTCCTCTACCTAAGCCCACACACTGTATAGGTGTGTGCACATAATCTCAGCGAGGGTCTTGGGAGTGATGCTGAGAGGTTAACCCAAAGCAGAAACAGAAGTCCATTCAGCAAACAGAAGCTGAAGGATAGACTAATGTGTATAGCTGGGGTCCAAGGGAGAGGGAGATGTGAGAGTGGCTCAACAGGGGCAATGAAGGCCTCTGGTCATAGCTGGCCTGGAAGGGCACGCTGTGCCTTCCACCACCTGATTACCAACCAGAGCTAACCCTCGGAAGGCAGAATTCAACCCCTACCCCCAACAAGGTGCTTACACAACCTATGCTACACTCTTCCTTCCCCACCAGAGTTGTTTCCCAACCTCAGTGCCAAGGGACCAGATGGGAGAGATTAGAGTTTTAGAACCATTCCAGCTCACTGCCACAGAGCAACTCCCCAGGCAGCAAGTGCTTTTGTCCACAAAAAACATGGAGAAGACAGTCATAGTTTCTGGAGACTGAAAAGTATCCATTTTACCCTAACACCCATAGTAAACGCATAGATTTACAGGCATTTGCCTCTTGCCACTGGCTTTGAGCTAAATTACTTGGAGCTATGGACAAAGCTGTCACCCTTGCCCCTCCAACATCTAATCCAAAGAAAAATAGAAGCCATGGCTGACTCCAGCTGTGGTCTTCAGTGGTTTAAGCAACTGCATGCACATGTATGTACAGGACACTGCTAGGCTTAAGGGATGTAATGGCAAGCAAAATACAACTGCAACTGAGAATTCAAAACTCAGAGGTTAGCTATCACGTCTGTTCAGCTTAGTTCTTACCTGCTCCTTCTTGTTAAAAGGACACAGGGAAGCCGGGCTTGATGGCTCAGCCTTATAATCCCGCGTTTTGGGAGGCCGAGGTGAGTGGATTGCCTAAGCCCACAGGTTCGAGACCCACCTGGGCAACTTGGCGAGACCTCATCTCTACAATAAATCAAAAATTAGCCGGGCGTGGTAGCGCGCGCCTGTAATTCCAGTTACTTGGAAGGCTGAAGCGGGAGGATCGCCGGAGTCCAACAGGTCGAGGCTGCGGTGGCCGGGAGTGGCCACTGCACTCCAGTCTGGACGACTGAGTGAGACTCCAACTCAAAAAAAAAAAAAAAAAAAGAAAAGACACAGGGAGATAACCCATAGACAAACTGGGCCATTTGGTGCCGTTTTCAAACTCTGGGCCAGGAACCCTCTGAGGACTTTATAAGGTCAGGATCCATATACTTAAGGCCCCTTTATGTAGAAAACTGGTCATTGAAGCATCACTGCTTTCAGGGTCAGCCTGATCTTTTAAATAGGCTAAGGTCTATTTCCCCATGTTTCAAAGACACTTAGCTAAGTTTTTGTAAATAAAATGGCGAAACCCAAATAAAAACCTTACTTCTTGTTTAATTTGTTTTGCCAAACAAACACAGTGAAAACTTTAGTCTGACTAATTGTACAGAAAATAGAATTTGTAACCAGTAGCAAACAAAACAGGATAAACCTAAGTCCCTGGCAAGCTGGATCTCCATCAGCAGGTCACTCAGACCCCCTTGTAAATGGCCTCCTGGGGAGGGAGGTCTAGGAGACAGAGGCACAAATCTACCAGTCCCCATCAGAATCACAGGCTGCACCTGGGAAGGAAAAGCATGAAAAGGAGGAGAACTGATGTTACTTGGATCTCTTATCACTACACACAGAAGAGCTGTCTCTGACTGTAGGCCAACCTTAAGGTTTGGTTTTCCTAAACCCATAATTCGTGAACATCCCACTTGCATCCCTAGATTTTAAGTTTTAAGTTCTGTGGTTCTGAAGCCTCTGCTTAACCAGAATCTGCAACATACACTGGGGAGGAAGGGTAGACAAAGTCATAATCGCTGGTGTCACCAGGGCAGAGTGACGCCCCGGCCCCCACTTCAGGAGGAAACAAGTGAGGGTGCCAAATCACCAGTAAGAGTCCAGCTGCCTTAAGCCTCAGTACTGTCAACCAGTGCCCCAGGAGTATAGAGAGGTTCAACAGCGGCCCACGGTCCCCTTGGGCTGGAAGGGGTCCAGGAGTCCAGCAGGCCACAGGGGGACCCGTTCACATTCCATGCTTCTTGCGGATGACAGCCATAGCAAGCAGCCGATCCTTCTCGCGCAGTTCTTCGCGCAGCTTGGCCTCGGTGAGACGCAGGTGGCGGATGCTGCCCTTCATCTCTTTCATCTTCACTTCCATCAGCGCCAGGATGTCCCGCTGCTCATTCAGCTTGCGCAGAAGCTCCTCCTCCGTGGTGCCTGACGACAAGGAGTACGAGTGGTCGGAGCCAGTATCAGGGAAGCCCTCTTCCCCTACCACCACCAACTGGGGGCCCATAGGGCATTCGGCGGCCTCCAGCCCTGCCGTAGCAGCCTGTAGCTCTGACGCGGCGGCAGCGGCGGCTGCACCCTCTGCGGCTGCAAACTCCACTTGCACTGTAAGATCAATGGGCTTCACGTCTTCTCCCGTGGGAGTAGTGGGCGCCGGCGGCACCGTTCCCGAAGCCTGGGTGCTGTCTACAGCGGCCTGAAGGGTGAGAAGCACAGCCGCGGAGGCAGAAACCAGGTTCGGCTGCAGCTGGGCGGTCTGAGCAGTGGAGGCTGTCGGCGACGACTGCTGCTGCTGCTGTTGTTGCTGCTGCTGCTGCTGTTGCTGTTGCTGCTGCCTGCGGCGAGCAGCCGCGGCCCCCGCAGGTCTGCGCGCTACTTTGCGCTCGTTGACGCCGCGCAGCGGGAAGATGGTGGGGACGCGTACCGTGTAGGTCTTGCGGCCGCCCTGGAAGTGAACGCTGCAGAGACGGTGGCCCGTGGTAGGCTGGAAGGTGGAAAAGCACCCGCTGACGCCGGCACGGGACACGTTCTTGAGCCAGAGGCGCCGCAACTCAGCGTCCTTGGGAAACGTGTAGAAGTGCAGCGCCTTGTCCCGGTGCGAGTTGTTGTAGCAGCCTGGCACGCAGCACGTAAAGCCAGGCATGGCTG